TTAAGAGACAGTGTCCTGGGGAGCTCAGTCGGTTGGGCGTCCGACTTCAGCTCAGGTCATGATCTCACAGCTCGTGAGTTCGAGCCCCACTTTGGGCTCTGTGCTGACAGCTCGGAGCCTGGAGCCTGCTTCGGATCCTGCTTCCCTCTCTCTCTCTACCCCTCCTCGGCTCATGCTCTGTCCCCCTCTGTCTCAAAAATAAATAAACATTACAAAAAAATTAAAAAGAGACCGTGTCCTGGTCTGAGCGCTGAGAGAGGAGCGAGGACACTTGGGTCCTGGTCCAGGACCTGTTTCGGACCCTCTGGGTTACGACTTGGAAAAGTCATTTCATACTCTTGAGTTTGTATTTTTCATTGGGCGAAACAAGAAGACGGTTGTCATGGGGCGCCTGGGTGGCGCAGTCGGTTAAGCGTCCGACTTCAGCCAGGTCACGATCTCGCGGTCCGTGAGTTCGAGCCCCGCGTCAGGCTCTGGGCTGATGGCTCAGAGCCTGGAGCCTGTTTCCGATTCTGTGTCTCCCTCTCTCTCTGCCCCTCCCCCGTTCATGCTCTGTCTCTCTCTGTCCCAAAAATAAATAAACGTTGAAAAAAAGAAAAAAATTTAAAAAAAAAGAAGACGGTTGTCAGAAAAGCAAAATCCAAGATGTGGTCCGGTCAAAGGCAGGATGATTTTGTAAGTTACCAAGGGGCCGAGGCCCCTTTGGCAAAACCAGTGGTGTTTCTCCCCTCTCCCACCCCCACACTTCCTCTCTGGATTTGTTGAGCCACTGAGGAACCCAGGAGGCTGGAGGAAGGAAGAAGGGTGCTCCTGAACTCAGGAATGGAGAAAGGAGTTGGGGAAAGTGGGGGTGGCGATGCCCCAGCCCCAGGGGAGGAAGTGACCCAGGCCCAGGGCTTTGGGTGGGACAGACTGCTTCAATGTTCCATTTGAGCCTCAAAGCGACCCTGCCAAGTATTGTCATCACCATGTGAAGCCCTTTCAAGGCTGAGAGACAGGAAGGGACTTACCCGAGGCCACACAGCTGGAGGAGCCAAGTCTTCCAGTCGGTTTTACCAGACTCCAAATTCCAGGTCCTTCCAGAAGGACTACGGAAGCCCTCTGGAAGCCCTGCGCAGAGGTTAGGGCTCCTGGGTTTGTGCACAGCCCCCACCCTCTCCTGCCCCCTCTTATGTCAGCAGCATGGTGACCGCAAAAGTCCCCGCCAGGAGCTAATGTTGATCTTAAATTGCCATCCGTGGAAAGCCTTTGAGGAAAGCTCCGGGCAGAGACATTTTCCCTTATGCAGGGGCAAGGGCAGGACTTAAGGGCTGCCTTCTGTGGGGCAAAAAACCAGACTGCTGGTTGATGACAGCCAGAGGCAGGGGCCCCAGGAAATAGGTGGGGTGGTCTGGGCCCCCATCCACAGGGGAAGACTGAGGCTCAGAACTCCTTGCCCGGACTTGCTGCTGGGACTCCAGAGGCCGCCCCTTATCGCCCATTCCTTCCCACCTCCCCCTGGAGCCCCCACAACATTCTTCAACACCCCTTTAAAAATTAAGGGTGCGGCAGAGGTGGGGGCAGCTCCTAAAACAGATAAGAGGTAATTGCCTGCCTTTGACTCCTCTTGATGTGAAAATGGGATTGGAATGACTCACTCTGGTTGAAAGGTTAGTTGAAGGTTATTACAGGAAAATTGTTATTCATACATTTTTTTCTGCGCGGGGCGGGATAGCCTGAAAGATTAAATTCACAGAGTGCATAATGACCCATCAGGGCGGACAATGGTAGGGGCGTCCCAGGGGAGGGGAGATAACGGAACAGAGACTTCTCTGAATAATTCATGCTCCAGCAGAGGCGGCACTAACAGAGATTACGGGAGGCCTTTCATTAGAAAGGAGAGGCGCCCTGAAAGCAGTGGGTGTGTTTCTCGGCGGCCAGGGCAGCGCCAGCCCCGTTTGCTGTGACTTCAGTCAGTGTCTGGGCTTCCTGGCCTCATCCTGAGTCTTGTGGCTCCCAGGTAGCAGAGGCCAGATTCATCTGTGGGGCTCTGCATTTTTTAGATGACGATACGGTGATGGGAAATAGCCATTTCCTGAGAGCGTGGGGACAGATGTCTTGCTCCTGTGCCATCCGAACCTCTGAGCACAACCTCGCGTGGGCACGGAGCTGGAAGTGGGACTGGAGGCCGTTTGGGAATGAGCGGGCAGGACGAGAATGCTGTCCCTCCGGGAACACCCCAAATCACGGCTGTGACCCTAAGTGCGGGTGTAACCTTGGGCAAGTCGAGACCGTCGCTTTTTAGAGCAGGTGAATCCCATTCTGTCTCCCAGGCCAAGGCCATGTGCAGGGACCTCTGTTGGTCCCAGGAGGCCTGGTGCAGGGAGAGAAGGGAGGGGTCCGGGAGCCGTCTCGCAGCCTCTATGGAGCCTGCTTTGCACATCCAGCGGCCCTCTTGGGCCTCCTCTGCTCTGCCGTCTGGAGCCCGGGGCCCGCTCCAGGTAGCTGTCCCCTCGGAGAAGGCCTGGGGCACAGCCTTCTGAAGCCTGTCTCGCTGGGACCTCTTCTCTCCCAAACCCCAGTGGCAGGGCAGAAAGGATCGGGCCACCGTCTCCTGGGATCCGACCAGACACGCTGTCTGCGACTGCTTATCCAAGCCACACCCCCTTTGCTTCCGGGCGTCCAGTGTCCTCGCTGCCCCCACACAGGGGAACCCACAGCCACACCGACTTTACCAGAAGCCTCACGGCCTTGCTTCCCCACACTGAGGCCCAAGGATGGCACCTGTGCCCGAGTCAGTGAGGTGCATCAGGAAGGGCCTCCGGGCCACGTACCCATCTCGCTGTGGCCCGAGAGGAAAAGGAGAGAGAAATCCACGCCACTCAGTGTAGTGGAAACGCCAGAACACCAAAGACAAAGGGGGATCTCCGTGGGAGGGTGACCGCTCCAGGTTCTAGAACCCGGATTCTAGATCCTGCGTTCTAGAATCAGCTCCAGCCCTCGTAAACTATGGCGTTGAGCTGTCGTTTCGCCCCCGTCTGTAAAAGAATGCCAGACGGCAGCTGCCATGGGTAACCTCGCGGCGGTGAACGTAAGCGCCAACAACACCGAGCCCTGCACCTGCTGCTTTATCACCAGCTGCACGTCAAGCCCTGTGTTAAACACTTCCCACGGCTGATCTCTAATCCCCACAGCAGCCCCAAGAGGGAGACAGCATAATTCCCCATTTTACGCAGGAGGAAACAGAGACCCAGAGCGGTTAAGCGACTTGGCCGAGATCACACAGCTGGCAGGTGGGAGCGCCGGATTCGAGACCGCGTTGTATCTCGTTCTAAAAAAGGTAGATCTCCTTCTTCTCTAAGGGTGCTGGGGGCGGGGGGGGGGGGGGGGGGGGGGGGGGGGGGTAGCCCCTCCACCATTTCTGCTCGGTGGCTGTCGGTACAGAAAGGCGTTCTCAGGGCTGAGGGGCAGGAAGGAAGCTGCTGATGCAAACGCGGGGCATTCGTGCATCCATCCACCCGTTTGCCCCCTCTCTGGAGAGGCCTACTCCCTGCCCGCCTTGGCCAGGCGCCGGTCACCGAGGACTGCATCCCATATAGGCCCATGGTCACGACCTTCCGTGCAGGAGGCAGACACAGGTACTGGCGCTCTCCCTCCCTGACCCGTAAACTCCAGAGTGGCGGAAGAGAGACCAGAGAGGGTAAAGAGAACGCACCCAAAGACCGCGCTGGGGACTCAAACGAAAGGAATTCTGACCGCCTTCGTTCTTTGAGTCTCAGGCGGAAGCCTGGAAGCCCAAGTGTGCTCGTGGGTCGGCACAGTTTTCCGGCTGGCAGGGATCTAGGCAGCTGGAAGGGATCCTCACCTCCGGGACGAGGCCGCGGAGACCCTGGTAGGGGACTCGCGCAACGTCACGTGGTTAATAAACCACCATGGCTCAATCCCAGCTCTCCTGATGGCCAGTCTTAGCGAGTGGGCTTCTGCTGTGTCCGCCGTCGCCAGCCTTGTCCGCAGGTACGAGCCATCGGCCGACTTTTCCTTAAGGGCTTGACGAGGTTTCTCCTGCCTTCTAAATGCGGTCCGTTGTTGCCTTCGGTTTATGGAAGCTTATCTTAAGTGCATACGGTCTCCGGCAGGTAACCGGACCGCGGGCCGTCATCTGCAGTTGGTGTTCGAGATAAAACAGCTGTTGTTTTAAATCCTAATTAAATCCTAACTCAAGCAATTAATTTAGCCCCCGAATGCTCATGATTTGAGTTCTAGGGATTCAGACTATTTGTTTCTCCCACACTCCCCTCCCTTCTTTCCACCCCTACATAATGAGCAGCTCCTTTACGTCGGCCACTGAGCAGGCACGTCTAGAGAGCCAAAGGCAATCACAGTTCTGCGGCCATATCTACCTCGGTAGAGAAAATAAGCAGGCCGGGGGGCTCCTCCCCCCTGCTACGACGGGAGCAGACTTGGGAGATGTCCTTGGCCACCGCCAGCTGCGTGTCCTTGGCCACACCGCAGCTCTTCTGAGCCCCCCTCCGATGCGGCACCTTAGCAGGCGCAAGGGGACTTGGAGGGTCATACGATGCCTCACCTGACTTTACGCACGATTCCCTGCAAAATCCTCCCAGGTAGTTGCAGAGAGGTAACATTTCGAACAATTCATAAAGCGGAAACGAAAACCTTGGCAGGTCGACTCTTGCCAACCCACCCCTACCTTCCTGTCACATGCAGCCGGGCCCAGGGAGAAGATCGCCCGTGCTTTTAAGGGAAAATTCTACTCAGATGTCCTCTCTGTTTCTCAAAATGAAGGAATCAAAAATAAAGCCCATCCACATGCCATATGGGATCCTGGAGTGTGTCCTAGAACAAATAGAGGTCATTAGTGGATATGCACACACACGCGGACACACACACAATCACAACCAAGTGCGAAGGTCTGCCCACTGTCCGATTCTTCTGCAGTTCCCCAGCGTGTCCCCTTTTCTTGACGTCCACAGCTTTGCCTCAGTCCTTTGCTATATCTCATCTCAACTATCACTTTTGCTTTCTTTTTTTTTTTTATTTTTTTTTCAACGTTTATTTATTTTTGGGACAGAGAGAGACAGAGCGTGAACGGGGGAGGGGCAGAGAGAGAGGGAGACACAGAATCGGAAACAGGCTCCAGGCTCCGAGCCATCAGCCCAGAGCCCGACGCGGGGCTCGAACCCATGGACCGCGAGATCGTGACCTGGCTGAAGTCGGACGCTTAACCGACTGCGCCACCCAGGCGCCCCCACTTTTGCTTTCTAAACAGCTCCTTTCCTCCAGCCCATTCCCTTCCAAGCCACCCTCCACCCTGCCGAAAAGCGCAAAGTACTGCCCATGTATTGCCAATGCCTGTTGGGTACATCCCAAGTTCCTCCATCGGGAATCCAACACTCTCTGTAATTTACAGAAATAAACAGCCTATTTACATTCCGTCGTGGAGATGGTCTCCACTCTTCCTCCGAGGTGTGATCTTATTGGGTCTGAGCGTTACAGGAAGGCATGCAGATACAGAGACTTAGGAAACTTTATTGCGCTCGCAATGGGCACCATATCCAGCCCAGCTTCAAGAGGTAACTTTGGGGAAAGTTTCATACAGCTTACCACCCAGGCTTCTAATGAGTGCCTGTAAAACTGGTGAAATCAGAATAATATCCATGGGTTGTGTCAAGGTCGGGTTCCTGCTGGTGATACCATACTGTAGGGATGCAGGATGTTACCTCTGGGGAAACTGGGTGAAGGGTTTAAAGATCTCCCCATATCCCTTCTTTTTTTAAAGTTTTTATTTAAATTCCAGTCACTTAACGTACAGTGTAATATTAGTTTCGGGGGCACAGCAAAGTGATTCAGCACTTTCATACATCACTCAGTGCTCATCCCAACAAGTGCTCTCCTCAATCCCCATCACCTATTTCTCCCCTCCCCCCATCCCGCCCGGATTATTTCTGACAATGACACGTATACACACAATTGTCTTAAAAAGTTCAGGAAAAAAACCAAAACAAGCAAACGAAACAAAATCTTGCCCGCTGACACCTTTCCCCCCACAATTCCCTATTCCTCCCTCCTTTCCTTTTTGTTCCATAATTATAGCCCACCAGATCCCCTCACAGAAGGGGAGGCTATTTTCAGGAGAGATCAGAGGAAAGAGCCTATGAAGGTAACATTAACCCGAACCTTGGAGGTTCATTATCAGAAGATCCATTTGCTAATTCCACGGGCGTCTGAGCTCTTCGCGTCTGGTGGCGGGTGGCCAAGGGCCCATGCGCACTGGAAGCACCACCAGATGGGTTCTTGGGAGTCCCAACATCTTGGCACCAAAGCTATTTCTTGGCCCTGCATGTGCCTCTTCAGTGTCCGACATAAAACACGAAATGAATGTTCATGGTGGTTGGATATTGTTCTGGGCACACAGCCCTTCCTTTGGAGGAACCATCCCTCCCACACACCGCGTGGTCCAGGAGGCGCCCCAGTATGGCGCCCTGGCCCTTCCCACACCACGAGGGTAAACTCTGACCTGGGGCGAGCCCTGGTTATCGTGATTGGTTCAGAGGTGTGCATGTGATCCAACCTAGGCCAATCAGAATCTTGCAAGGACTTGCCTGCTGCAGTTGCTTTCTGCCGGGAGCCTGCATGTCAGGGAGATGTGAAGTTGGGGTTCCTGGAGCTCATCCTTTCTGACCGCACAGAAGAAGGCCCTCGGTAGGAGTGACTGGAGCCCACACATGAGGGTTATCATCTGGGAGAAGAAGGAAGGTAAAAAGAGAGCCCTTATTAAGGCTCTTGATTTCTTCTGGATACGGCCATGACCCTCTAAGCCTTCCCCGTAACAATGTGCCATTGTATCGATCACAAGTTGTTGTTGTTTTAATTTTTTTAATGTTTTTATTTATTTTTGTTTTTTTAAACTTTTTTTTTCAACGTTTATTTATTTTTGGGACAAAGAGAGACAGAGCATGAACGGGGGAGGGGCAGAGAGAGAGGGAGACACAGAATCGGAAACAGGCTCCAGGCTCTGAGCCATCAGCCCAGAGCCTGACGCGGGGCTCGAACTCACGGACCGCAAGATCGTGACCTGGCTGAAGTCGGACGCTTAACCGACTGCGCCACCCAGGCGCCCCTGTTTTTATTTATTTTTGAAGGAGAGAGAGAGAGAGACAGAGCATGGGTGGGGGAGGAGCAGAGAGAAAGGAAGACACAGAATCCGAAGCAGGCTCCGGGCTCTGAGCTGTCAGCACAGAGCCCGATGTAGGGCTCGAACCCACAAGCTGTGAGATCATGATCTGAGCCGAAGCTGGACGCTCAACCGACTGAGCCACCCAGGCGCCCCACAAGTTGGTTTTGATCACGTGTGACTCAGACAGTTTTGACTTCTACAATACCCTAATTAAATAATTCCTTCGTAGCCGGTGAAGGAAAGGCGAAAGAGTCCAGCTCTCCTAAACTTTTTAGGCCAAGAGTTATGTAGATGTCCAGAAATGGAAATGCAGGATGCTAGGGAACTGTAAATGCCTCTCCTGGAGAACGAAGAAGAGGGAGACACTTTCTAGGGCAGGCGGCAAACAACCACTAAATCCTGACTTCTGCTCGTTGAGCTTTTTCTAAATAATTCAGCAGAAATAGGACTAAATGTTCCCCAGTATTTTTCTTTAGTTAGAAATAATTTGTTTTGTAATGCAACTTTTTGGATACCTTTCTTAACTCACGTTGAACCCCTGACTGCCCCAACACGTCTACAGCCATTTGGTCCAAAGTGACTTACCCTCTACTTTATGTTACTTTATTCTTATTTTTCCACTTCCGGTCACGTCCCTGCAGCAAATTAGGTGGTGTCACGGCATCTCACTCATGAATTTCCAGACCTTCCATCATCTGACAGGAGCTTTGGAGATGCGGTTGCTTAGACGGGCCCCTAACTTCAGCTAGACCCATCAAAACCGTTGTCCGGGACTTGGGGATCTTATCCATGAGGCGCGTGGGTGAGACCCTCTTCACGTGGACGCACCTTCACCACGTGACCTGGTTCCTGGGACTCGGGGTTGTGCGTCACCATGCGGACCAGAGGGGTAGAGGGTGGAGCTAAGGGCAAGAGGAAAATGAAGGCGGGAGATGGAAGGACAGCAGTTCTTGTTCTGATCGGCTTCCGAGGTCAGGGAGCCTGCTTTCCCTTGGCTTCTGTTAGAGATCGTGTGCCCCACAAATAAACCTCCCCCTTTCCCCTGTTAAGTCAAATCCAGGTGGTTGCTGCCCCCTTGCAATGGAAGGATCCTCTCTAAGCCATGCAGGTTCTTGCCCGGCCTTAAAATGCTTCCTCCACCCCTCCCTTCCTTGTCCTTCCCCCTTCTCAATCACATGTGTGATCACTGACGCATGTATATTATGCAGAGTATCAAATATAGGTCAATGGATGTCACCGTGGTAAAACAAGCAAACGAAAAGCTCACACTCCTCAGTGCTTGTTAGTAAAAGGATCCAACAATGCGCTCCTCCCCCCTGCTGGTGGGGGGGGGGGGTCACCGGGGTCAGCCCAGGCTTTGGCGTGTGAACTTCTTGTTCCCACCGAATCCGTCAGCCGAAGTGAGAAGGTTTTATTGAGGCGGACATGTGTCAGCCTCGGTTTGAAACAAAGACACGCTGCCAGCCTGCACCATCACAAAAGCGGGGCTGTGTGAGACATCTTTGCTAAGGCAGTGATTTTTTTTTTTCCTCTATTGCCAGGCACCATTTTGGAAAGTTGCTATGGGACGTTGGTCTGCACTTGAACGACGTCTGAGACACATTCAAGGCTAATGCTTTTGAAAAACAAAGCGCCTGAAAGGTTTCAGGACGGGGCGGTGGTGAAATCAAATGACCCATTGAGGCTAAATTACCAGCCTCACAGAGCGTTTTTTAGAAATACCATTCTGCCTCGGCCTGGGGCCACCACTCATTCGCTTGCTCTTCCAATTAATTATTGTGTTTTAACACTATCTCCAAAGATAATTGCCTGTCAGTGAATCAGTATGTAACACCTCGGGGTGAACGATGTTCTTGCACTCCGTCTGTCAGTGCTAATAAACACGGGGCGGGGGAGAACCCACCTGCTTTCCTGAGCATCCCGTCCTTCTCCTGAGTCACCTCCCTCGCTCACTCGCCCCCCCCCCCCAGCTTCCCCCCCGCAGCCCAGCACTGGGGGTGGGTGAACTGGGAGAGAAACACACAAGCTCCATGGCGGAAGAGTGCCTGATCACAGCCCTGATTCTGAGGATGGCTTCTTTCCAATAGATCCGCCCTCGTTAATTTAATTCCGAGAGCCACAGAATAGATGGCAAAGGAGAGAGGGGTGTGTGTGTGTGTGTGTGTGTGTGTGTGTGTGTGTTTAACCACCCATCCCATCACCTACCAAAAGAAAAGGTATAGATCAATAGGCTTTGTAATTACAGAGTTGGTTAAAAAAAAAAAAGAAGAAGAAGAAGAAGAAAAAACTTTCAAAATAAATCCAGGTCGGAGGGGTCTTTTATATTCTTTAAAGCAAAACAGAGGAGTGACGGAACGTTAGCATCGAAACTCTTTCGCTTCAAAGCCCGCTGCATTAAATATTTCAATAGGGGAAAGACAAAATTCCCCATTTCAAATTAAATTGAACCCACTCGGTGAATGTATGAACATCATATGGAGTAAGTGTCAATTAAAGTGATAAGTAGTGGGTCTGGCACCGAGTTCTGGATTGTTCTGAGGCCTGCTTCCCCGGCGTGGCCGTTCAGTGCTTTGGGGTAAATTGAAACTGATCCACCAAGTGTGACCGGTGATTCTTCTGAGAAACAGATTCTCGTCCAACACCTCTGAGTTAATTGGCATTTTATTCTCATTTAAATCTCTGTCCCAACCTTTTACTTTGTTTTATTGTTGTGTGTCAGAGGAAACTACCATTCCAGTGCCTTCCCCGCAGCGTTCAGGAAGCTCAGAACAAATTAGGGGGTGCCCTACCATTTCACCCACGGATCACAGAGCCCTCCAGCTTCTGTCGGGACTTGGGGGGGGTTCAGGTTTCCTGCCAATCGCACTTTCGGTCACAGAACGGAGAGGAAATGGAATCGTTAACGGCATTGGAATTTTTCTGTGAAGCCCATTTGCTGCTTATCTCCTGGAACAGCTACCCTAGCACACAGGAGCTTCCCTGCCAGGAAAGGAGGAAGCACTGAGATGGGAGAGGAAGAGTCTAGAATAAATGATAACAGGAATGCTGCCTAGGGTGTGCCCCCTGCCCCAGCTCCTCCCAGAATGAGCCCCCGGGATGCCCATCACGGAACCCCCTGTTGCTGGCAAAGGAAAGCGAGTGGGCTGTTGGTCTCGTCTTCTTAGGGAGCTCCCCGCTCAGGGAAGTGCCTGGGTTCCGGGCCCTGATTTCCCTGGCTTCGTCTCCAGAGGGCATCAGTCCGTGCTTGGCTTCCCGGGGGGGGGGGGGGGGGGGGGGGGCAGCCTCTTGCAGGGTCTTGGATAAGCAGTATGATTAGGGCCAGCGGGTTCCACACGCACCCCACCCACGCTGGTCCTCACCGAGTACCTCCTACTTCATATGGACTTTCAGACCCTCAGATAACCAAAGAGTGTCTCTCTAGGAACCGTTGGGTTATGGCTGCTGTTTCTACCTTCCTTGGCCACTCACGTTCCCACAAACACAAGCCCGCACAGACGTTTTTACTCAGGCTTAACCCTGTCTCTCATCCCCCCAAATGTCCTGGTCCCTTTGGGGCACCCAATTTCCCTAGCTTCATCAGTTCGTTGGTACACGAAAGACCTCAGTACTCCATGGTGTTCGCTCAGATTGTTCTGTTGATGTAAGGACCTCCCCTCCAAGATGTCTGCCCCCAGGAAGTGTATTTCCGGGAATCCACAAGAAAGGCCTCGTGCAGATTCTCCAGAAGTCTATCCTCTTGCCACTTGAAAACAATCGCCCATGACCACGGGGGCATCAGCTCTCGCCCACCATCTCCACTGGGAATTACACCCCCACTCTGGCATCAACTTTCCCTCACCCTTGCACGCTGCTCATGGACACCCATCATGATGACTCCGCGTTCTTGTGGGACCCAGGCAGGGGAGAAATGCATGCTTCCTCCACTCTGCGGGCCACTGTGTCAACTGGGCTCCCAAACAGCCCCTGTGAAAACAGCTGCACCACACGACATGGGCCAGGGGCTGGGCCAGGGAGAGGGATCATGCTGTCTTCCTCCACGGCCGCTCAGCTCAGCTCCCGGCGTCTATGCGCAGACCCCTTCCCAACGCGCTCTCCCCCGTACAACGCCCTCTCCCCGGGACGTTGCCAGCCCACCAAATCAGCAGACGGGGCGAGAGGCTGACCCCCCTCGGCCCAGCCTGAATCCTTGCTCAAAGTCCACACCACGTTTTGCAATTCTCTTGGCCAGTGGATGACAGAAACTGGCATCGCCCTTGTATGATCTCATAGCCCCTCCAGAGTGCAGCATTCATGGGCTCTCAGCGGCATTGCCTTAGTGAGATCCATAATTTCACTGGTTTGCATTCACTCATGAAGTTCTAATTTGTCTTTTTCTTTTCATGTCTTTGAGCTATTTGAGGGCAGAGCCCATGTCTTCAACAGTTTTGTACTCTGCCACGGGATGTGGCCATTCCCCGGCACGGAGGAGATACTCCGTGGCCACCAAGGACTGAACCAGGGTCAACATGGGACACTTGGGGCGAGATGGAACTTGACCTGGAGGCCCCTCGAGGCCCTTCCCAAGGCTTACTTTTCTACATTCCGATTCTGGAGGTCTGGGGGAGGCGCCTAGAAAGGAATAAAGGTCTAATAAACACCATCATTTGGAACCCTTGGCCTGGAGTTGCTTGTTCACCAGGTGTGGGATGTGTAAGCTGAGGGGGGCGGGCATATGGACTGTCTTTCCAGCCGTGTCCCCCTAGAAATCCTTGTCACCTCCTCCTCCACATTTCCTGTGTCTCAGCTTCCCATATATAGGGCACATTACGTACCACATCTGATGAATAGTTTTCCAGGAGGCTCTGAGGCCTCCTTCGTTAGCTCCGTGCATCCCTACCTTCCTGACCTTGAGAGATGCCAACGTTGCCTTACGGGACACTGGGCCTGCGGGGGAGAGAGCAGTGGTACCCGGCCAAGGCGGGCGCCCTGAGACTTGGCAAAGGAACGGGACGGGCTGGGGGTGGGGGGGACTTATTTATAAGCATGATGAGGCATCACCTCAGAACCCCCACGAGTATCACAGGGCAGTGGGACATGTTCAGGGGCTGAGGGCCCTGCATTGGCAGATGGGGGCGACGAAGCAGGTCTGAGGTATAACTATCTGTGCGATCTTACTTGTCCCCCGGAAAGGTTTGGTTTATGGACTTAGCAGAAGCACTGTGGGAAGAAAGGCTCCTGGCAATCGAGTCTCACGGTTTTAAATACCAACTATATACTGATGACTCCCACATTTATATTTGCAGCTCAGACCTCTTTTCTGGACTTCGGTCTTATATATCCAAACACCCACTCAAGATCTTGATTTAGATATCTAACAGGCATCTCAAAGCCAACAGACCCCAAATTCCTAATCTCCCCCTCCCCAAAACTCTCTCCACCCACAGCTTTCGCCGGCTGAGCTGATGCTCCCTCCGTCCTCCTCTTGTTCAGCCAAAACCCTTGGGGACGTCTTTGACTTCTGTCTTTCTGTTCCCGCCCTTCCTTCTCTACCATCTCGTCTTTACACAGACCCAGGAGACGAGGTAAGACAAGGTCAGTCAGGCCATGTCTCTCCTCTGCTCAAAACCCTGCAACGCCCCCCGCCCCCACTCCATGCAGAGTCAAACACCAAATCGTTACAGTGGCCAACCAAGCCCTGCGCGATCTGCTTTCTCTGCTCCGGCCTCTGTCTTCTCACGCCTCTGTCCCACCTGGCATCAGCCACCTTGGCCTCCTTCCTGTCCTTGAGCACTCCAGCATGACTTCCCAGCCCTGCGCTGGGAAGTCCACGAGGCCACCCTCTGCCGCGCCTCCTCCCACACGCTCTCGGGCCCCTTTCCGGGCTCTAGTTTTCATTTCCTTTTGGCACCTACTGCTTTTTAAACAAATTGTGTAAGTTACGCATGTGTTCTAGTTGTCATCTCTCTCCCTCCGTTAGAATGTAAATTCCACCAGGGTGTAAATCTTTGTGTTGTTCGCAGGAGGGCCTGGCGTATAGATTATGTATGAGTAGGCACTCAGTGAATGTCGAAGCAGAGAGAGTTTGGGAGCACAGATCAGATAGGAAAGGAAGGCGCCGTGCCAAAGATGGAGGAAATAATGATGGAAAACCAGTGGTTCTTGGAGTGAAAGGCACCAAGGGTTTGAAGGTCCAGTGTGAAGGTAAAAAGAAAGTTCTTTGAGAAAACCAAGATGGATAGAGTGGCCATCTCAACGTCTTAATATTGAATCAAGACATTAAATAACAATAATGAAAACCCTACTGGTCTTAAAGTAGTTTCTTAGACAGTCTTATACAGTCATTTCACCCTCTAATGATTCTACAAGATAGATTTAGTAAGCCCATTTTATAGTTAAGGAAACCGAGGCTCAGAGAGATGACCAGACTTGCCTAACTTCACATAACTGGGAAGTGACCCAGCCAGTGGGGCTACCTCACCTCCCTACTCATTGTGATGCTGGCCAGAAGAGGAGAGAGGATAATATTTCACCACTGGTTGAGCACACCGATCTGGGGTTATCACTCTTCAGAAATGTCCAGAAATGGAAGGGTTCCTTCAGAGACTGAGGTCATTCCAAGAGATGCCAACACACATTCCTCTTTGCAGCCTGGCTCCCCACTCGAGCATGAAGACCTCATTCCCCGGATTGATGCAGGAGAGAATCTTCTAGCAACACCACCCTGGACCGTCCTCCTCCTCTACCTTCCCACCCGGAAATGCTGTCCCTTCCTCACACCTGGGCTGGCTAGTCTGCTTACCTTTCACACCCCCTCCCCTCTTCTAAGAGGATATAAAATCAATAGCGATCCAGAGACCGATTCTGGCATTTTAATCGAAACAATAGAATCGGAGGCCAAAGGGCTCTGTGTTGACAAGACAAAGACCACATTGAGGGCTGCAGGCAGCCAGCAGAATGGAGTTATGACTGTGTCCAGCTTAATGGCAGCCAGACACAAAAGAGGTTATTCACCCGAGCAAAGTTTTAAAAATTCTATAGTGTGCAATTTGGACCTCGTTGGAGTTGTTTTGTCTATTTCTGTGGATGCTGGCCTACCCCCTCCCTTGGCAAAGCCGACAGTGCCTCCATAACTCACTTGCAGATGTCCCACAGCGCTGTTCCACTTCTGGACTTTATGCTCGTTAGCAGACACAACTGGAAATTCTTGAGCTGTTGCAAAATGGGTCATTTGGAACCAAATTCCAGTCTCTGACTATGTTCATATGGTGGATTGTTGGAGCCCCCTTGGCTGAAAGAGATGTGGATGTTGTCATTAGGCCTCCAGCACTGAAAAGGCTCAGCTAGAGACAGGTGGCATGGTCTCAGGTCACCGCAGCTGGAACAAGTCTTTAGGCAAGGCCAAGTTCGTCCTCCCATGAGAAACCGTGGCCCTGAGATGGGGGGGGGG